GTCCAACCATTCTGTCTGTGTGATTCACACTCTCTTTTAAAGTTTGTTTATGGCAGGGCTTGTTAGTTTTTCATGATAGTAGAAGTACTTTACTTTAAGAAAGAAATATGCATGGTTTTTTAAAAAGTGAGTTGATTCAAAGGAAGACATTAAATAACAGAGGTAATATAAACATGGAGAAATCAGGAAGGATGGTATGGATGGCATTTTGGGGGAAACAAGTTAAAGAAAAGACAGCTGGTCTGGCTGCTATCTCCAGAAAGGATGATTTAATGGACCAGTGTCTGCCTTTTATTCTGTTAATTATGGAATTTAAAACATTTCCTGAAAAATGTCCCCATTAAGACTGGTTACTGAAGTTCTGCACATCCCTCGGAGAGCACAGGGCCGCAGCCTTGGCAGGTCTGCTGCGGACGCCCCCACACTTAGACAGGAAACGGGACAGGCTCCCTGTTTCACATCAGACCCACACATGGAGGAAATCAGAGCCATCACATGCTCTGTCTCCCGGGAGTATACTGTTTTCAATTCTTGTCAACACAAGGGACAGATGGTTTCCTCTGAAAGGCTGGTAGTCTAAATGAACCCAGGAGCATTTCTTTCTGCTCCCCACAAGAAAGAATCTCTCCCTCTGAAAGAGCTCCCCATTCCTTTGTGTCTGTGGACAGCATGACATGGGACTAAGGTGGCCATATCTGTTCAGATGGGTCACGTGCCATTAGAAACACAAAGGGGCCCCTGCTCACATATGAGTGAGTCTGCTTGCTCATTAGGGAATAATTTTCCTCAATGGTGCATGGCCAGGCAGTTTTCTTTGTGATCTGGGTGCTTTTAAAAAGAGAACAGGAGGGCAGCCTGTTCATTTTATCAATGCTTGTGCAGAGCTAGTTGCAGATGTCAGAAAGGTTCCCTGTTCCAACCTGGTGAGAGAGAAAAGCAGACACAATTGCTCCTCTACTCCCACACCTGACTTTAGTTAGGAGACCTCAAGGATAAAGACTGACATTCTAAACAGCCCCTGTAAGTGGCTGCACCGAGAGGGCAGAGCCAACCTCTTAGTTATGCTTCCCCCAGCTATCAGTGTAACTCAAGGGAGGGAGAATCCTTAACGAGAGCATCTACAACTTTCATGTGCACTGGAATCTCCTCAATTGTGTTGGCATGTACCCTGTGATTTGAAAGGTCTGGGGGCCTTTTCCAATGCACCACCAGGACCCTGCTTTGGCTAGCAAGGCCTATTCGTTTTTTTTTTGTCTTTTTGAGACAAAGTCTCACTATGCAGTTCAGGCTGGCCCTGAGCTCACTTGGAAGCCCAGGCTGGTCTCAACTCACACCAATCCTCCTGCCTCAGCCTCTCAAGTGCTGGGATTACAGGCATGTACCATCATGCCCAGTGCAAGGTCTATTCTTGAGAAGGTTACTTTAAAAAAAAAAAAACAACAACCTAGCTCCAATTGGATTTAAAAACAAAATAAGTCCCAATTTGCCTTAAAAACAAAGACCCTCAGTGACTGAAAAGCCTTCTTATTCCTGTTCATTGCCACCATGGAGAGCCAGCAGCTTACCATGGTGACATCTGCATGAAGCCAGATAGATTGTGACACAATGCAGACCGAAGCTGCCCACACCTAGGAAGTGGAGGTTTTCAGAAGAAGGGCAGCAGCTCTGTACAGGAGGCTACAGCGGGCCAGGGTTTCCTGTCTTCCTTGAGTGGCCTGTTTCTACCTTTCACTGTGTCCAGACACTGCACTGTTTCTCAGTCTTTGGGCCAAGATCAAGTAGGGAATGCCAGGGCTTGGTCCTGTTCAGGGCTGTTACAAGTGGGCATTGCAAACGGATCGTGTCAACAGTAAACGTTCTTGTTCAGGAGGAGGAGTTCTATTGACATCCAGGAGCCAGAGGGTGAATTATGGAGGGCGTTCTGAGGTTACCAGTGTGAGCACTCGCACATGAACACTGAAAGGGCTGTAGAGATCAGGCAACTTCAAGTGAACGGATGCCTGAACCCTGGTGCACTGCTAAGACCCCTGACCCCACTTACCGAATGTGTGTTGATGATTTCTTCGATGGAAATATAAATGACTGGTTTGCTGACTGTCACCAAGTCTGTATATTTGTCCATATTAAACTTTTCTTCTGGCTCAGGCACATTGCACGCTTCTTTGAAATACTTCCTAGCAAAGGAGGGGAAATTCAAGTTAGAGCGAATTTGTGAGTTAGAAAGTGTCATCAAAGTAGGAAACTCAGAGGAGCTGGCACACATCTGTAATCCCAGCTACACATGAGGCTGAGGCAAGAGGATTCAAAGTTGGAGGCCAACTTAGTGAGGTTGGGCAACTTGAGACCTTATGTCCAGTCAATCAATCAGGTTGGGGAATGTAGCTTAGCGGTAAAGGACTTGCCCAGCCTGCATAAGTCCCTGGGTTTAATTGCCAGAACTGAAACAAAAAAAAAAAAAAGAAGAAACTGTGAATGATGGCAAGCACCTTGTTCTCCACCCCAAGCCCTTGGGGTCTTGTTAGGGCTTCCTCCTGCTGGCTCCAGGTGTTGGAGCCAGCTCCTGAAACAGCGCTGGAGCATGAAGGGCCTAAGGCCCTTTTTATGACTCAGTGTGATCAAATCACAGGCAGAGCACCCTTAAAATGTTATCACTTCTGAAACAGCCCCTGACAGTTAAATAAAAGTGTATATAGCTAGGGATACAGCTCAGCAGCACAAGGGCAAGGTCCTGAGTTCGATTCTCCGTACCAAAAAAAAAAAAGTGTATATGTACAGTGGTACCTCAGTTCACTAACTTACTTCATCCCGTGATTCTAGTTGCAAACCGAACTGGATGAGAACAAGTCAAATTTCCCATAAGGTCAACACTGACCCTAACCACTCAATTAGATACACGCGCGCGTGCACACACACACACACACACACACGCGCGCGCACACACGTACACATAGGACCTTATTATGCATGCTAGGCACGTACTCGGCCACTCTGCAACACCCTTACCCTGAGACTAATACCTCTCATCTGAGAGTCAGTCTTTGTAGAGAACACAATCCAATAAGGAACTAGTTAACTTCTGCTTTAAATGGCTCAAGCTCCAGGGTTTACACCACCCTAACTGCCCTTCAGAATGTCTCTTATGATTTGACACAGAGGAACCGGTGAATTTCTATTTGATCCAAACAACACCGGTGAATGCATGGAAAGACGGTAAGGGCGAGGCACACAAATACAGAAAACTCCCCAGGATTCAGAGCCTAAGAACAGAGAGACGGGGAGGGAGGCCAGGTGTCCTTTGATGACAGTGCAGAAGTCCCATGTCGTTTGACCTAAACAGCCCCGGCATAATATGTACTTTATTCTACTCAGCTGCCAGTGTTTCATCTGCAATCGCCCGTGGTGTCTCTCCTAAGTGTACCCAAGGCTGACACCTTAGGAGCCATCTTTCCCTCCCCAGCCTGGGTCTCAGGGGCAGAGATGGCCGGCAGCTGCACTGGAGGGGCGTCCTTCGGGTGACAGCAGCTTGTCCTGGGCCACTCGGGTTGTGCCTTTTCAGGGTAACTGAGGAACACAAGGGATAAATGTGAAGAGAAAAAGGATAAATTTGAGAAGAAGCAAGGGGAGGCTTTCGGTTTTATTTCTCTTTAAATGAAGGGGAGCCGGGAACACAGATGGTTGACAGGAGTCATTCCAGAATAAAGGAAGGAAAAGGGTGCTCCATCACAGCTGAAGATTTCCAGGAATACAGGCAACAGATACGGCTTTTCAGTTAGTGAAAGAACTGAATAGTGGCTTGAGAAATGAGCACTTGCTGCAGTAAGTGCACTGGGGGTCACTGTCTTAGAAAAGGCCAACGTTCTGCCTCGAGGTAGTCATGAACTAACTACCCTCGCTGGTAAGTAAGCTCCTGACCCAGAGAAAACTGAAGAAGGAAAAATTAGTGGCCAAGCACGGGCTGGAACAGGGCACATTTGTGTTACAGTTCCATTATCCACTGTAAGACAGGACCACAGGACAAAAGAGCCTAACTGGCCTCACTCAGCTGTTGGAACGATCGGAGTTGCAATCATAACACAATAGTCGATAGGATGAAGTTCCGCTCGTCTAGCCAAGAAAGGCTTGGGACTAGGACAGCACACATGCACGCACAGCCATTTACAAACACAAACGCTGGGGCTTTCCCAACCTTTCTAACTTCATTTCCTACGGTTGTTTGTTATCACAGATAAGGCAAATTCTTCCTGATTGGAAAATACCCTTGTAGAAAGCATTACTCTATTCTTAGGTTCAACAAAGCAGAAATCTGCTATTTTGAGAGTGTTTTCCTAAGCACTGTGAGCCTGCAGCAAGCCAGGGAGGAAACCATACAAGCAGGGAGGGCTCCGTGCGGCAGGCGGCTCAGGGCTGGGTGGGGCTGGGAGCACCAGGCATAAGCAGCCTCGCCTGCTCTTCTCTCGGTTCTCTGCCCCAACTGGCAACCAGTAGCAGAACTGCTGTTGCCATCCGGGGTCCCTGTCTTCCACCCGCATCTCAAGCTCCAGGCACAGATCACAAGTTACTCTTGGTCCGCTTTCTTCCGTGTTTATTTGAACAGGTTACTGGCTCTCCTCACCTGAATTCCTGATAGGTCTCTGACAAGTAATTGTTCATCGATGAGAGATGCTCATTTTCTCCTTCGAAGAGCTTGTTGGAGGCTGCGTGCTGAAGCACCTTGGCCACCGACCCTAAGTTTCTCCTCTGGTCGGAATTGATCTGTCCTCCGGCCGTCATGTCAATGATATCAAAGCCGTCAGGGGCTACAATGGCTGGGTTCATGTACCGGTAGTACAGGAGGTTTCCAACAATCTGCGGTGATGCAGAAGACAAAGACCATTTTAAAAAGAGAGACTATAAGGGTTTGGATTGCTTTTTCTTAAAGTCTACATTCATTTATATTTCCCAAGAGAAAGCAGATCATTTTCTGATTTGACTCTCAAAAGGCGGTAAGTACAGGCAGTGAATATGATCACCCACTAAAATACTTAAAAAGTTATTTTTGATGAAAAATATGCTCATTGCCTTCCAAATACTCCAGTATAAAAGTGCAAGTAATGTCTATGATTTCTAAATTAACCTCACCGTAATCAATAATCTTAATAGTCATTAGAAACAGAAGACCTGTATCTTATGGTTACAAATAGTTGTACATGGGGACAATTTTTACAAAATGGTATATTTGTAATTTTGGTTCACACCCCCAAAGAAAAGCTATGTGAGATCACCCTTGGAAATCTACCTTCAATAGCTCATCTTCTGTTGCATCTGGGAATTTCTCATGGATGGAATTCTTCAGTACTTTGGCTATAAACCTCAATCCGTAACTACATGTAAAACAGATGACAAAAGAAAATAATGGAAAAAAGCTAAGTGAGGAAGAAACACACAATTGTTCCAGTCACTAAAGCTCAGCAGTTTTCCTAAAAATTCAACATAAAATGAGATGGTAATGGAATCACAGGACTGCCACTGACGATGATGCAGGGTTTGCTGCTATGACCAAAGCGCTGCTCCTTCTTTGGAGAGCAGTTATGAATGTGAAAGGTTACATTAGTAAACACAAGATGAGGGAGAACTCCTGTCTTCACTACTCAGGCTTATCTTGCATTAGTTTTCCAAGAACTTTTGGCAGAGAATGTCAAAGTGGTTACAAATCCAACTTACGGCAGCAGATCGAGGGAGGAAATGATAGAATTGAGAACTTTGTCAGTGACCCTTCGAAGGTTTTCAATGGATGCTTCCAGCTTATTTCTCACTTCCGGGTAGGTCAGGGCTTGCTCTGTGGTCACATCGTAGGGCAGCTTGCTGAAAACACAAGAAGGGTTCTGAGTGGACTTGGGGCCTCAGTAGGAGTCTTCATGCCTGCCGCACTGGCTCTACGACACTAGCTCTGCGTGGTGAACTGGTGGTCACCGACCACCTCCTATGGCAGCGCTAATACAAATCCAGATAACTCATTTACTTTCTTTTCTTTGTGGTGCTGGGAATCAGAACCTTACACATGCTAAGCAAGTGCTCTGCTCTAGAGCTACACTCCTGGCCTCTTCATTGAAGCAGTATGTCTATTACAGAAAAATTGCTCATAATAAAGAAAAACAATAGCAACACAGAAGCAACCAATTTTTACACCTTAGAATGTACGGGCCTTTCATTGTCATGGTGTAATGTTATACATCATAGCGCCTATGTATGCTTGCATATACATGGCCATATTTTACAGAAAGAAAATGGAATGTCTGTACCTAACTGCAGCTGAAAAATATATCATGAATATATATGTATCCATCTATCTATCTATATGTTTGTTTTGTTTTTTGAGATAGGGTTTCACTATGTAGTTTCTTGAATTTACTATGTAGCCCAGGCTGGCATCAAACTTGTGGCATTCCTCCTGTCTCAGCCTCCTGAGTGCTGGGATTACAGGTGTGTACCACCATGCCCAGCTCATGACCATATTTTCTGTGCCAGTGAATATATATCTATACTGCTATTCCATAGCTACTTGTTCTATTATGTGTTTTAAAAAATTTAATAAATCCTCCAAAGCTAAATGTTTTGGCTTTTCCTGTCTTGACACTATTACAAAGTGAGCACCTACATACAAGGTTTGATCAACATATACAGTCAGGACTTAAACACTGTTACTACAGTCAAAGACAACTGTCATTAAAACCCCTCAAAGTACTACCCAGAAGTCCTCTCTTGTGAATGTTCTTATGAGGTATGATCAAAAGTATGGTGAGTGCTGCTACCCACTGCCATCCAATGGAAAGGCAGGCTCATAAAAACATTACAGTGTGGCACATGTTTGTAATCCCGGTATTTGGAAGGCTGAGGCAGAAGGATTAGTGCAAGTTCAAGGCCAGTTGGAACTACATAGGGAGACTCTGTCTCAAAAAACAAAAACCAAAACCAAAAACCAAAGTGTCCTCTTCCACCTTACTCACTGGATCTGGTACTGCAAGACTTCTGCCTCTCCCTCCAAATCAAAATGAGCATGAAAGGTAAATGCTCTGAATTGATTATAAGGCAGCCAAGACAGCAGAACTCAAAATACAAAAGACTTCGAGAACTTTTTTAGAAAGTGGCAAGACTGATGGGGTAAGTGTGCTGGAAATGAGGGGGAGTATTTCAAGGGTGATGAATGGTGATGCGTCTGTAAATGTAATTAAAGGAAACAAAACATTTTCACCGTATTTTTTGATCACACCACATAATTCTCTGTGAAGATCTTCAGTATTTCACAAAACTTTCTTTTTCAGGAAATAGAAGGCTGGAACTGATTACATCTACAAAGCACCACCTAGGAGAAGCCATTGCACCTCGACTGTTTTCCTTATACATGGAAGTTATTCACTCAGCAATTCAAAAAGGAGTTTTGCCAGAAAAAAAGGGTATACTACCTCCAGGTCTATGCATAGAAATACACAAGGAAGGAAGAAGGGCGGAAATTACAGGAGCTGCACCACTTGGGACCCACTGGTTTTGCTATTTGAGAACATCATTTAGTGTAAAGATGACAAAGGGTCTAAGAAAAGCAGTCTGCATGAATTTGTTAAATGAAGACCATATTTTGGATTGAAAATGACTTTTTTGATGAACTTTTAGGGTTTGAGAGTTTACAGAAGCATGCATGTGTGGATGGCTGCAGAACGTCACCCTGACTTTGGTACCTGGCCTCTCCGGTTTGTGTTTCTAGTTGGTTCACCCAAGCCTTGTACACCTCGACGGGGCTGGTGTTGATGACCAGGGACTTGTCGTCGATGATCTCTTTTACCACTGGAGCCAGGAGCTGGCGCAGGGTGTTCTGTCCCCGGGCTCCCCGGTTGAAGCTGACGACCATCTTGATGACGGTGGGGTTACCAGTAACAATGTCCTGTACCTGGTCCACCTTCGACCTAAAGAAACCCCGGGCTAAAATAAGATGGTTCGCTTCTGTGGACAGTGTTAAGCAATGTCTATTCTCTCTGGCAGGCAAGACCTTTGGGGACGGATTTTCTCAAGGAACATGATGTTGGTGTAATTTGAAAAGAAGCAACCATTTGTAAGATGTGTGTTTATCTGAGCAAGTTAAGGATCTAAAAATAAGATCCTGGCCCAGCTTCAATCTAGAAGGCAAACAGAATTGACAGTGAACCAAGACTAACAACACTGAGTGACGCTGTACAAGTATAGTTCCCTTCTATTTACCAAATTTTAAAAATAACTCTTGATTGTATGAACTGTTCCTACATCTTCAGATCCCACTTGAGTTCATCACGCAGCTTCCTGGCCATGACGCATGGCTGACGGCTGGACCATGACCTTTTCCCTCTCTGCTTCTCCCTTCCCCCGCTGGTGGCCCCTGCCCCGTTCCGATGCTTTTCCCCTGGCCCCACTTCCTTTCCCTTTAGGGTCTGACTGCCCTTCTCTGGTCCTTATCTTACCCAGTCATTCCTTTCCATTTCCTCTTCCTTACTTAAAATTCTGTTTTCTCTCCCTTTTTGACTAATTGTATGTGCTGCTGGGACAGTCAGGGTGAAACCAGAGGTCCTGCCCTACCCATGCTGTGCCCTCAGACTTTGCTTGTCACACACACATCTTCAGCCGCAGTCTCTTTGGGACCTGTCCTCTGATCTCAATTTCTCACTCATATCTCCTTCCTGGGGCCAGCCTGAACTTTCTGATGTTCTCCCCTGTCTAGCTCAAACCCAGTGTGCTAGATCCAGATTGTATCTCACTCATATCTCCTTCCTGGGGCCAGCCTGAACTTTCTGATGTTCTCCCCTGTCTAGCTCAAACCCAGTGTGCTAGATCCAGATTGTATCTCTCTCCTTCTGACTCCCCCACATCTCTGAACTGTGTAAATTTAATCCATCCAGTCTATACATGACAGGTAGATCCATCTTCTCAAAAAAGATCACATCCACTTTCTGATCAGAAGCCTTTCTTACTCCCCAGAAAGTGAGCAGGGACTCAACCTCTGGTTGTCTCCCTCTCCAGCGTTACCTCCCAGTACTCACCAAGCCACACATGGCCCAGACTCATCTATGTTCTTTCTTGTACCTGTGCCCATATTGTCCTAAGACTAGTGGGCCTTATTTCCACCTTTAGTCTATTCCTATAGAAATGATAATGATTCCCCAAAGTTTAAGGGAAAAATGGCTCCTTTTCCATAAAATGACTTTCAGTCAACATAGTTGGATTGTTTCTTTCCATCTGTTCAAATCTGTCACACCGTATGCACATTCATCCAGACTGGCCATGTTCCACAGAGGGCGTTACTACTTCTCATGAGTCAGACCTCTTCTGGCTTACAGACCCAGATGCAAAGCTGCCTTGCCCCTGTGCTCTGGAAACCCTAGGAAACTAGCACAGTTAAAAAAGAGAATACAACTTCCATGTCACTCAGACGATAAAGTAAATTTTCTCATTGATTTTCAATAAGCTTTTGGTCTCCAGTTTTTGTGAACATGCAAAATTGAAAGTTAGGGATCATTGGTGGGAGAAAACTGTACCTAAATAAAGCTCTCAGCTTATAAAAATTCAACCATCCACAGAGATTCCATTTCAATCTCAAGAAGTTTGACATACTTAGTATCCATGGATAACATATCCTAGTAATTTAAAAATTACTTTAGTAAATCTGAGATCATGTCCACTAAGAAAGGAACCTGTGCATTGGTACTTTTACATACATATTGTATACATACTTTATTTCTTCCTCCAGAGCAGTTTTGAAAAGCTTGAGGAGCAGGTATTCTTCCCGCTGATTAGAGGCATAATTGTACAGTGTAAAAATAACAGTGTCCATAAATTTAGTTGACTTGTTCTGTGGCATCTGGAAGATCAGCTTAGCCAAGTATAAAGGGTTGGTCTACATGGAAAGAGGAAAGAAGAAAACAAAACAGTCCCCCACAAGGCTATCAGTTAATGTATTATTAAAGCAGTATCTTGTTCCTTGCTCTTCAGGGACTGAATGTCATTAAAAGCAAATAGACAAGAGCTGGCCCACAGTATGACTTTAAAGGTACTGGCTAATAATGAATGCTGTAATACAGGAAGCTGTACTAGAGAGTTATTATGAAAGGACTTAAATGTTATGTAGCACATATGTTCTGTACTGTACAATGTAGTGTACACTCTGCACTGGTAACCATTTGGAGCCACATATTCATATTTTCTGCAGAGACAAAGAAGAGAGTAGAACGATCCCAGAGGATCTGGTGTCCAAGGAGGCTGCTGACCATGAGCTGAGGCCCCAGACCCAGAGACTGGCCTGGAGGACTGATGGATGATAAAAGGAAACAGATAACACTTTCAGACTAGAAAGGGAATGAGGCGGCTGTGCATGTGGAGACAGCGAGAGCGCCATGATGCTCCACAGGCATCGAGGGGAGGAGAGGGGGGACAGCTGAGGAGGCGGGAGTTGGTGAGGGAAACGCCGCACCTCCACCACCACTAGCACCACCTATGACGATGATGACAATGATGACAACAACAACAACAACAAGAAGAAGAATAAGAGCAAAGCAAGAATTCAAAAGACTGACCCAGAATTAAAAGAAAATTGACCGGGAGGCCCGAGGCTCCCCTGAGGGTGGACTCTGTCAGGTACTGGCCAGCCTTCATGCACCTGTGCTAACCCAGGGGGAGGGAAAGCCGTATTTAGAGAGGAGACAATTCACACAGAAGTTGAAGGCTCATCCTCTTCCTCATCTTCCTTCTGATGAGAAAAGGAAATATTTAATTCCCATTCTGGAAAGCTAGCATTCACTCAAAGGGCTCTGGCAGTTTCAGGAAGATCCAAACTTTAGTTTACTTTACCACTTAGGGTTACTTTTGAGTTCAGAATGCTCGAACTTCCACGAAGCAGCAACTTTGGATAGCTTTTTGACAGCTCTGTAACAATTCTTTTCCAACTTTAACTCAGTGTATGGAGATTGTGAGAAAGGAAACTCACTCTAGAGCTCAAGAAAGAGGCTGGTCATTTGTCTTTAGCTGACCCCCAAACTTTACCTCTAGTCATCCTTAAGAGAGAAACCCAAAGCGACGCCTTTATTAGCTGGCCGATGCTTTGCCTAATGAACCTCTACTTCTTAACAGGATAAACAACACAAGTCGTGGGCCACTGACTAGAGCTTAACATTTCTTATGACAAATTCTGGCATGTTAAGAAAAACTAAATCTGGAAGAACCTACCTAAGTTTGAGAGTTCATGGATGTAAACAACTGGTGAATATTTGTGATTAAATTTCCAACTAGTGGTTGACTAAATCAGGCCCGCTGGACAATTAGGCCAACAATTGTCCCTGTTAACCGCGGGCCCCTCTGCTCCAGGAGGTTGCTGCTGTAAGGCCGCTGAGGGTTCCGGACAATTATTAACATTTTCTCCTCCTGTGCTGCCACACAGAGGCCATAGGAGGCACCTACATCTGTTTGGAAAAGAGCTTTCTTGCAAGTAGAGAATTCTTAAACCTGAATTACCCCCTGGGATAGATACAACTCGTGTTTATGGTTTGTGTAACGTGTTCTACACACACAAATGACAGTGACATTCCCAAGCAAAGGGCATCTCCAGGCTGTACGGAGTCAGCGACCCACACAGCGGAGGCTGGACGGGAGGCTTGTTTCTTTCTCTGTCCTTCCCGCCCACTCATTTCCTCTGTGACTAACTGTGTTAGTGGGGTGGGGGAGGTCAGTCAATGGTCAAGCAAAACACGAACTGGCCCATCAATATCCAACCATAATCAACTCCATCTGTTAGTTCTCACCAGCACTCTGGAAGCAATGGAAAATTAGAATTCATTTAGAACACAGTAATGCCATGGAGATAACTAGATAACAAGGATGTTCTATTTCCTAATCCCAGCCTTCTGGCTTTTCTCCTTAAAGAAGGGCAGGCTGGTTCTTGTATAGATCTGATTTTCAGTTACTTCAGCTCTTTCACAGCTAACAGCATCTGTTTGTGTCATTATTAGGCCTATACTATTTCTGCTCATCACTGTTCTAGAATATAATATAGTACAATATGAAGAATATGGGCTCTGCAGTCAAAATGCCTGGGTTCCAAACACCTATTTTAACATTTATTGGCTGTTTCTCATTTTTGTCACCTGTAAAATGGAAAGCACTGCAGTATTTGGTCTCTCCAGTTCCCAGCGTTACAGTAAGAGTTACATGAGATACTGCTTAAAATAGCCCGTGGTACTTATAAGGGTGTGGAGCTCATTTGCAATTCCCAAGAAGCACAGGGGAAGAACCACTGTCACCCAGATGTGGAAGACGGTGTTTTCCAAATCGCATGGCGAGAGTCCAGTTGTGCTCACCTGGAGAAGGTAGAACAGCTGCTGGTATGTTTCCAGTGTTTTCCTTCTCTCCTTGCTCAAGCTTTTGATTCCCTGGTTGTCAGTGTTATTCAGTATTTCCATTTCTCCTCCTTTTTTCTTATTTAGCTTTTTTCTATGTGAGATTACATCCTGTAAAGAATTTTATGACATTACTCATTTTAACCCTAATATTCTTAATCTCTTCCCTTCATACATCTCCCGAGACACACAGTCAAAAAGATGAATTTTCCATATTTCCTGCATCAGGAAACGCAGGGACAGAGGATGTTAAGCTAAGGAAATACACTCTGCAGGTGAATCTGGCTTTTGTAATGTGTGTTCTCCAAAGCTGCATTCATTTGCTCTTAGGATTGAATGTAGCACCAAGAAGATCTCATGAAAAAGAATAGTCTTTTAATAAAGGACACTGGGACAATTAGATATCACATTCAGAAGAAAGGAGTCAGACTCCTACCTCAAAGGATAAACAAAAATTGACTCAAAAGAGATAAAAAACTAAATGGGGGCTAAAACTATAAAACTCTTAAAAGAAAAACTAGGAAAAGCAGAAACTGTGTTGCTGAGTTATACCTCTGGCCCTGGCAATCATTTATTAGACAGGATATCAAAAGTATAAGTAACAAAAGAATAAATTGGATTTCATAAAAATTATAATATTTCATGATTCAAAAGGTAGTGTCATGATAAAATGACAACTCACAGAATGGAAGAAAATATATGCAAATCTCATATTGGATGTGACTTGGATCCAGAATAAATAACTCTTGCGACTCAAAATTAAAAAGACAACTCAATAAAAATGGGCAAACGATTTGAACTGACATCTTCCCAAAATGATATAAAAGTGGCTAACAAGTACACGAAGAGATGTTCACCATTACTGGTTGTCAGGGGAATGTAAATCAGAACTACAAGAACATACCATCAAATACTAAATAGAATGGTCACAACCAAAGAGATAGTAAGTATTGGTAAAAAATAAAATTTAAAAAATATTGCTGAGGATTTGGACAAATTAGAAATTCCCACCTTGTTGGTAAGAATGTGAAATGGTACAGATACCTAGATAAAACTTGGGAGTTCCTCAAGTTCAACATAGTTATCCTCTGACTCAACAATTCCACGTTCAAGTATATACTCAAGAACAGAAAATATGTTTCATACGTAACTTGTGCACGAGCACAGGAAGTAATATGAAGCCTGTTAACAACAGCAATATTCATAATAAGTAAAAGTGGAAGCATTCAAAATTTCATCAGTTAATGAATGGATAACAAAAATGTGGTGTAGCCATACAATTGAATATTATTCATCAATATAAAGTAATGAAATGTTCTATAACATGGATGACTATAGCTATAACATAGATGACTTTAAAAATAGTATGTTAAGTGAAAAAAACCAACCACAATATACTATTTATGTGTGAGTCCATTTATATGAAATGTCCAGTATAGGTCAATCTATAGAGACAGAAAGTAGATTAGTTGCTGCTAAGCCTGGTAGTAAAGGGAGAATGCATAGTGACTGTTAATGCATACAGGAGTTCTTTCCTTTTTGAAGAGAAACATAATAATTCAACTACTGCACTATAAAATTCACTCTACTCAGCAGTGTTTAGTCTATTCACAATGCTGTAGAACCATCACTTTTATCTAATTCCAGAACATTTCCTTTGGAGTTTCTGGCATGAAAATGTCCCTGAATTACACAGAAATGATGGTCAGAAAAACCTGATGAGTATTTTAAATACAACTTAATTATGTACTCTAAAAGTGTGAATCACATCTCAATTTATAAAAGCACTTTCAAAAAATAATGTAGAAATTAGATATGGAAGCAAAAGGACTTCTCTAAACATTTAACAAAATTTAAGTTTTTCTCCCTCATCATGCTTCTTTAGCCATTTGCAGATAATCTTGGAAAATGTGGCTGAAAACCATGTCACAACATGGTCACTTTAGGAGCTTATGGGTCATGACCAAGGGTAGGTCCTTCAGACTGAGTCTACCAAATTAATGTATGTACAGAGATCAATAGTAAGAAGTACATTTTGCATTCTTTGTTGGTAAGCACACACTATATGAAACACACTTGTCCTTGCTACTGGGGCACACTGATATTTTCAATCTACTTCTGTTCTATTCCATTAAAAAAAACCTCTGCTAATTGTGACACACTAAATTGATTCCACAATGTTCTAATGAAACATGACTCATATTTGAAAGGAGACATTTCCCTAGAGCCTCCCCTGGCATGTAACGCTGGATCATAGTCCCACCAAATGGAAAGAAAGTTCTGTCCCTAAAATTTCTTGCAGTGGTTTCACCAAACTTTACGTCCAACCTCCATAGAAGACTCTGCAGCCAGTCTCAGGGACACCTGACCTTGCGGGGAACAGCACATGTTTGCTCTGCACGCAATACTGACCCTCTAGCATCCCTGGTCCATGCCCATCAATTGGCAGTAGGGCCTCTGAAAAGCCAAAAATGTGCCTAACCCCACTGCCCTAGCGAGACATAACAAGTCTGAGACCAGCCTAGGCAACTTGGCAAGACACTGTCTCAAAATAAAAAGGGCCAGGGATGTGGTTCAGTGCAAAGGCCTTGGGTTCAAACCCTAGCACAGGAAAAAAAAAAAACACACTTGAACTATGTCTAGACAAATCTCTATTAGCTATAGTCCCTCTTCCTCTCTCAACTACACATTCTTTAAACTCTGGAGACTGCTTTGTTGACAGCTTCATCTTCAGGGTAATTTTTTGTATTTTATTTTTTTGACATAAACAGATGAGAAGAGAAGGGAGGGGTGGCAATCAAGCTCAAGGGCAGAACTAAACCCCTCCCTTCGAACACAGAGCTGGTGAAGGCAGACAGGGAGAGTGGTGAGAAAGGACACATCCAGGTTGGACACGGGCCAGGCTGGGGAGTGGGGCAGGGCTGTGCAGATGGCCGGCGCCTGCCTGTGGCCTGCTCCTTTCAACCACGCCCTGGGGACCTCGGACTTGGGAAGCTTGAGGAAGAGCAAAGCCCAACCCAGACTGGGTGACACACACAGGCAGACACCTTTTATCAACCCAAACTGAATTTGCCCTGTTCTTACTCAATCCAAATTGAACAAGTGAGGAATACTGACTTGAAGGAGCAAGAGAATTCAGCTCGTTCACAATGTTCCCACATCCCAGTGTGTTTTTGCTGCCAGATTTTCCCGTCCCTAGAAACAGGCTACCTCAGCATGTAGGGAATACGTTATCATTTTGGGGGTAGAAAGTAGGGATTAGTATAAAGGGCTGGGCTTTGGGGTCATAAACATATGTGTATCTGTAAAGCATAATTCACTTTGTGACCTTGCAAAAGTTAACCTCCCTAAACTTCAGCTGCTAAACTAGAAAATGAACTTAATAATACAATTTTACTGGGTTGATGTGACAGAAACAGTACATGTAAAGCACCCATGAAGAAAGGAAGGCTCAGAAAGGTTAAAAAATATGCCCAAGGTAATAAACTATCTCAACCCAGAATTTCGGGTAGGACTGGTCAGAACACTCGTACGGTACATCAAACTCATCCACGGAATTTGGAGCACTTAGTGGTTTGCTTGTAGTTCCTATTTAAGTCTTCCTTCAAGCTATGTTAAGTCTATACTTTTTTTCCTTGTGTGAACTGACTTCAGTTGTCTCGTGCTTGTCTCCAAGCTGTTCTCTTTGCCTAAGGCCAATGTGAGTCCCTTCACTAACCCACTGATGTGAGGTTTTCAGTGGGAACGCTGACTTTTAAAGAACTGTAAGGAACCAAAGGTTACCAGAGTGAGCAAGCTAGTTGATCACATGGTGATGAACCTTTTAGTGCGTTCAATAATACAAACAGCCCACTGTGACATGCATGCCATAGGTTCACCACCACTGATCTATAAGAACTAATCCACTTCTGTCTAATATCTTTTTTTTTCTAAACAACTTTCATTGTTAAGAAAGAAGATAAAGAAAGTAAATCTAATATTGTTGCTCAAAGAAAAATCACTTAACTTTTCCCTTCTGGCTTTCTTCAGTAAATTTTCTTTTATAGTAGAAAAAATCATTGTAGGTTCTATTTTCTTCTCTATTATATTGCAAACCATTTTCCTGTCATTAAATATTCTTCAAAAACATTATTTTTGTGGCTATAATGTACATGCTAAATTCTTTACTTCTCCATTTATTGTTTAAATGTTTATGACTGTTTCTCACTTTTGGAATACTTAGAGAAGTAAAGCTTGAACTTTTCTGTCTTTACCATTAAACTAAAAAAGCTACTATCAATGACATGAAACTACATGTTTAATAATCAGTGAACTTCTAATAAGTATTGGATACATGTTTGGTATTTGAAAGATTAACTTTCTCTCTTTCTTTTGGAGCCAGGGCCTCACTGTGCTGCCCACACTGGCCCTGATCACCTACGTGCAGGCCACTCTCCTGCTTCAGCTTCCTCAGTAGCTGACGCTATAGGAAATTACTGCCTGTAGTACGTGGCTCAAAAAATCATCTTTGCTTCCCAATTCTATCAATTAGTAGCAAATGCATTTTGTTTTCAGTGCTGGGAATGGAATGCAGGAAATTCACATTGAGCTACATCCTCAGCCCTTTACAAGTTTGCTTTGAGACAGGGCTATATTGCCTAGGGCAGGCTGGAACTTGCAAACCCTCCTGCCTCAGTCTTTCAGAGAGCTTATACCCAGCAATAAATGTCTTTTTAAAAAACAAAATAAAACTTCAAGTTTTCACATCTATTTGGAAATCTTCTCTGGTTGCACTTCCACAAGATGCACAGGATTTAAACTATCTACGTATTTGGAAGTAAGTTTTCATGTTAAAAAGGCAAGCTATTTCCTGTTTACAACTCGATGGGGATGGGAGTACAGTGGCAGTTTAAGACTGGGAAAGGCATTCTCCAGAGGACTTTCTGGAATATATCACACTTCAAAAGCTCTCATCTGCATCATATAACACAAACACAAGATTTTTTTTAAAAGAAGTATTTTTTCCAGATAAGTTAAGAAAGCGGTTAAATAGAGAATAAGTAGTAATTTTATTTTTTAATATTTAGAAAACACAATCATATCCTATTTTACAAATTGCTGTGTTTCCCTTATTTCTCTATAACCCTCTCCCTGGACTCTCACGGGGTCCAAGGACTGGGTGGGGCCTTCACCTGCCCATGTGGCAGGGGCCCGGGCTGTTCATCTGCTGGCTATCCTGACCCACACGCAGGTCACTGGCCCTGGGTTCTCCACTCCAACCCGCTCGGCCCTGCCCAAGCCTCCTTGAATGACTCGTTTTCTGAAAACCAGCATGGTGTGCTGGGAAGCAAGAGGAATGTGGGGAGAGGTCTTACCCCAGACATCTGTTTTTGGATGAAACTGTCACTTTGTCCATTGTTTTACAGAGCTCAGACACCAGCAGTTTCCACCCACATACGGAACCCTGGCACCATTTCTTTAGAGACTACTAGTGGATATGGTGCTGCCCTGCAGGACAGTTTGGAAAATGTTGGGGTGTCTTTGGGTCTCTTCATTGGAGGCCCTTGTGGCTTCTAGTGGGTGGGGTGGTGGATGGGAGAGGCTCTGCTGTCCAGTAACTTGTCGGGTGGTCCGTGTGAATAACTCCCTCATCTTGCATGGCAGGGCTTATGAATTCACTCATGTAGGTCAAGACTCTGTTTGTATTATTACCTGAGCCTAGAATCTAATTGTTTTACACATATGCACCAGAGATTTTCTATACACAAACTTTTAATATACACTGGCTTTTCTAGGACTGCATCTCTGCGTCATTCAGGGTGGAGCACGCTTGGGTAACTCTGAACCTTACGAGAGCTGCTCTTCCTTTTGGAAAGGCGTCCTGCCTGCTCCACCCCTCTCACATGGGTCTCCACCTGTGTAGAGCTCTCAGTCTGGGGTGATTCTGGGGAGTCCCAACCACTCGGTACTTTCATCATGTTTTACGCTATTACCAGGCTTGGAGTCATGGTATACATTTATGGGGTAAAATAAGGTGTGCTGATCTAGCATTATGGAGTGAACAAATTAAGGTAATGTCTGTTAAAAAATATCACCATGCACATATATCTTCATATTAAAACATGTTTTCTATTATAAACCACTTTCTTTTTATTTCTCTTTTATATTTACATGGATGCGTTTTTTTTTTTCCTTAGGAAGGTACATATATAAGTAGGTTTTATTATCTATAAATTCATTTGAGAGTAGTAAAGAAGCCTTAGACAATACATTATAAATATGTAGGAGGCACATAATTTTGCAGGTCTAAGGGCCACTAACTTGTATTAAAAATGATAAATGAACTTATTCTAGAATCTAAATGGGCTTGGCTGGACCAAATTACCATGAGTATGGGAGGTATAATCTAAATATACAGTGAATGTTAAATTATTACCACAAAAGACATATGTGATTAATCCACCACAAAACACTATACTCCCCCTCCCTTTAAACACACTTGATGCCTTCATTCTTGCCACTTTCTGAAGCAGTTCTGGAAGTCTTCTTTCACAAATGTCCTTACGAGGTGTGATAAAAAGTGCAGTGAATGCTGCAGCTGAGTGCCGTCCGACAGAAAGGCAGGCTTGCAGAAACAGGATGGTGAGCCCTCATCCACCTTATTCACCAGCTCTGACACCATGAGACCCTGGCGCTTCCCCAAAGTCAAAATGACCACGTGAGGTAAACGTTTTGAATTGAATTAGAACACAGAGGCAGCCACAACAGTGCAGCTAAAGACACTCAGGAAAGGACTGCACAAAGCACCAAGTGTGATGGGATGTGTTTGAAGAGAAAGAGAATATTTTGAAGGGATTGATGTGTCTTTACCGTAATAAAAAATAAAGTCACCGTACTTGCTGATCACACTTTACACATACGTGCGCATTTGCCACTCCTGAAGCCTCGCCATCTCACAAGCCCACTGACCTCTAGTGTGATCCTGTTTTTCACCAGGAGCCCAATCTTGATGTCCATCAGGTTCAGGTCTTTCTCCAGCTGCTGGTTGGCCCTGATCTTGGTTACCACTTCCTCCCTCAGTCGTGCTACCTCCAGATCCTCCTGGAAATCCAAGTCACTTTGGTCCAGTAGGTGCACAAATTTGCGGATTACCGTTAGGGGTGGGTTTTCAGAGCCGACTGCAGCAAGAACAGGCACACTTTAATTAGGAGAGCTTGGAATTATTATCAACAGGAAAGCAAACGGGTCTGTACAGTATCACTGGAAAAACAGACCAATGACAGTATGTGGTCAGTGGAACAAATCATTCTCCATCATGTAAAGTCTGGACAAGAAAAACAACCAGACAAATACATAAAACTCATGCCTGGTCATGGGATTTTCTAGTTATCTGACGCTCACTTATCAGCCATGTCTGTCACTGTTGCTGGGACCCATGCACAGGAAAGACACCGATGAGGAACCTGGGAAAGAAGTTAATGCAAATGACCTCACCCTGAAGACTCTGTGCCTGAGCCAGATAAGAGATTTATGTTCTTGGGGCAGGAAGCAGAAAGCAGTTTCTCTCAGCCCAGAAGCTCTTTAGGAGGAGCCAGAGCTGGGTGAAAAGTAAATTTAAAAAAGTCACTGAACTACTGCAAAGGCCAAACAGGATCAGCTCCAGTATGAGTGGAGTGAATGTTTGCATTTGGCAGAAGGAAGTAATGTTAGAAACTGAAACTTGGTCCTTGCCCTTTCGTGATGGACCATGGGAGGCTATGAGAACCTAGGGGCAGCCTCAGTCACCAAGAAGAATATCCTCAGAGAATTCTAGGGGGTCTGCCTGGAACACCTTCACCTTTGTTTTTAATTCTCTAGCAGTTTTGACTCTTAAAGAATATCTTTTTTAACATGCTTAGTGAGAATGACTCTGGGTAAACTGTAAGAATAAACTGTCTGGATGCACCAGGGTGAGTGATTGGACCCAGTGTTCATGGGAGAGGGGAGAAGAAGGGGTTTCAAAAAGAAGAAAGACATGTCATGTCCATGTAGCAGCTCCCTGTGAGGAATGTGATTATTATGCACAGCAAGCATGGACTCATAAAAATAAAAATTAAACAAATGTGGTTTGAAAGAGCCCAGCCCAGTGCGGGCACCCTCGATGCCCATTTCCTTTCTCCCCGGGTCCCTGCTGGTTCCTCCTTGTACTTCTCGCTTGGTCCTGTGGCGTTTTGATGCTCATGGAGTGAGAAGAGTTAAGCCAACAACGCAAAGCACAGCGTGAAGTCAGCAAGAACAACCAAACCTAGAGTCGTCTGTTACTATTTTCCACTTCTGAGGACCCTTACAGGAGAGATGACCTTGGATTATCATCTTTGGGAGATGAGAGTGCATATTTTTTTCCTTTTTCATTCTCATTTCTAAAATTTCTTAAGTGAATATGTTTTATCTTCAAAATGAGAGGAAAACAGGACAGTTAATAAAGCACACAACTGAAATGTAGGCTTATCTTCTGGTTAACTCTTCTGCATTAGATTTCTGACTCTAGTTCAAATTTAATATAAAATAGGAGCATTCGTACCAGTGCTAGTCTTTTTGAGGAAGAAATTAAACCCAGTCTTCTTGTCCCTGCCACTGACAGCAGGAAGCTCATTGCTGTCACCACTGCTCCTGTGAGCACCAGTTCAGAACTTCAGCTACGATGACCAAAGTCCACCGGAACAATGGCGCCACCCTCTGTCCTTAGAGCAGCCCCAAAGCCCTACGCTGTAAGGAACTCCTCTTTGGCTAGGAAGAAACCAGGCTGCTGCCGAATGCGCTGCTTACCCAGGGTTCTGTAGTCATCTCTGGCTTTGCTTGCTCGCAGTAGAGACTGGATTTTCACAATTTCATTTTTCTGCAAAATATTGAGAAAGTCACAATCCCCCAGAGTTCCCATCTACTCCACTACCTTATAATTTAGAACTGTAAAGAACTGGCAATATTTAAGAGCTGAGGTTATTTACATGCAGTGTGTCCAACCCATATTTTTCTCTTTTTTAAAGAAGGGAGTCATGTAAGTTAACATAAGTTAGCCCCAAGTAGAAACGAGACTGCCAAGGGTCTGTTTAAATAAAACGATCTGAAAAGGGAAAGGAGTAGTAGCACAGAACTTAGATGACACACTCTCTGTCCACACAGGTACTCTTTCATGACTATAAAAATTCCTCCTGTGGGCTTTGATGTGACCAGTAAGGAAAGCTGTGCGTACAGCACTGGAATTACTTCTCTAAAGTCTTCCTCTCAGGTGTTACTAGCCACACTGTGTCTTCTCCATTCTTGACTGCGGAAGTCGTACTCTCAGTGTGATTTCTGAGTTATTATGTTAAGCTCTAAGATCTGTTCTCTCCTAAGTGGTTATTTCCACAATTTAATTTAAAAAAATCTTTCAATGCTAACAGTCAACAAACATTCATTTACTTCATCTGCAGCCCAGATAGAAACCCACACGCGTTTTTCTTACATGATCTTTGAAATACTGCAGTCGTGAGAGATAGTTCTTTCTTGCTGTTGCCATTCGGAACCAAGACTGAATCTAAAATCAAGGCAAACACCAAACAACTATTAATATAGTTGTATGCACTCTTTCTAAAAAATAATAATATCTTATTTGATGAAATTAGCAGCCTGCTAAATAATAAGTTCCTAAAGCCTGACCTCCATTCCCCACTTCTATTGCTTTCTCTCAAGGGATTCAAAACACTTTATTTTACCCTTCATCTCACCACCTCAACAGAAGAGAGGTGGGGAGGAAGGTAGCTTTGTACTATTTTGTTTTAATACCAATAGATAAAAGCCAAGAAAGCAGCAAGGCATTTGGTGAGAGTTGTAATAAGTCACTGAATCAAATTAAACCAGTCCGGGGTGTCTTAGTTATCCTTTTAAACATAACATTTAGATTTCTATAGGAAAACATCACAAAAGGCCTCAGCAGGGACCAACTGCTACCCAGAGTTTGGAGGGATTAAGCCTGTGTTCTATGGTGAACACTGGATAGCATTTTATTAAGAAGCATTTTATTAATGCTTTTATTAATTTTATTAATAAGCTTTTATTAATGCTATTAAGAAGCATTTTATTATGGTGAACACTGGACAGCATTTTATTAAGAAGCTACTGTACACACCACATCATTCTCTGCCTTTGGAGTTTCAAATACCTTTTAAACTAATCTCTTTTGACTCCAATTTGTCTCACACTGTTCCAATTCTCATCTGATTTCCACGTTGTCTACAAGCTCATTTTTGCACAGTCCTGAGGCTTTTCACTCTGGCAGAGTGGTCACCACACAGCCTTTATTCCTCCATGTGCCCGGGTGGGAAGCTGGAAAGCTGCGTCAGGAGCTCAACACCTGAATATGGCTCCTAAGTGAGCTCTGCTTCCTCTTGTCACAGCTTTGCACGTTAAAAGGAACTTGGGTTGGGTTCCCCAAGAGTTCAAATAATTAATTTAGGGTTTGTAAACATCTAGTGGTTATAAAACACTTTCACATTTGATTCTCCTAACCACATGAAGGATGTGAGCCAGTAATAGTGGCTCAGTTGACTGGCTTTAAGGTGATCAACTGAGTAATGGAGTTAGGATTCAATCCCAGGACTGACTTCAAAGCTCACACATACCATTTCCACAACTCTGTCTTCCAGACTCAAGACAAAGTGAAGGGGAAAGCTAAAGCACTTGATATGTTAGGAAAGGATATTTACCTTCACAACAGAATCAACATTACCAGCAAATGTTTGTTGCCTTTGCAGATACGCCTTGTGCTGTTTATATCCTTTCCAAAAAGCCTAAGGAAAAGACAGGTTACAAAATTACTGATGCGCACAGTTGATTTAGAAAGTGCAACCATGGAATACATCTCTGGAGGCACTGGGTTGGGACTTCAGGGGCCCTCCCCTCCAAATCTCCTCTGGATCTATCTCTGGGGGGGATGTTAACTGGGCAGAGCTCACAGCAGCTTGCTGCTGAGTCCTTACCCAAGATAGCAGAAGCAACCCAGGTAGGCACCTAGTTTCCTCCATGAAGGTTTACTTTGCATGTCAAAAAGGAGTAATAAATAGAATTTCCCCCAAGCACACACACAGTACTAAACAGGTGCAAGTGTTATTTGGTGACAACACAAATAACTGAAGATAATGACTGACCAGAATCTTTATGCCAAGAATGGTCCAGCCTAGAAAGGAAAATGTTGTACTAACTTCTGACACAGCCAATATCTTCAGAAGGGTTAAATCCATAATTGTTAATAGTTTATTCCAGTTCATCTATGAGCACCTTTTTGTTGAAGCACATCTTGGGCACTCACCCTAATTCACTGATCTTGTTTTTCAAATTAGAAATGAAATACAAGTTCCTTATTAAAGAGGGCAAGTGCAAACATCGAATCACTTTTGTACATTTCTTTTCATGCCTGTATATATTAACCTACCTCATTCTGTAATAAAATATGGTGTTTTATTATTTAAAAAATAATATACTTCTCTGTAACAATTCATAAAGAAAGCACAGAATCAAAGTGATTACGGAAGAACCTGCTCCAGACTTTTCAGTTCATGCCCCTGGAAATGACAGATAATGCTTTTTATAAAAAGGAACTCAAATAAAAATGTTATTAGCTGGACATGGTGGCACACACTGGTGATCCCAGCACTCTGGGGAGCTAAGGCAGGAACACTGCAAGTTCAAGCCCAGCCCGGGCAACTTAGTGACTTATTAAGAATCTGGCTCAAAAAGGGGGCTGGGGCTGGGATGTAACCCAGTGCAAAGACCCTTCTTCCATCCCCGATGTTCAAATGAGAAGGCATAGAGATCTACAGTGAGGAGGGCGCCCGGAAGACAGAAGGCGGTGGGAACTGGGTTGCAGGGGGACCCACGATACAAAAGCCCACAAAAATATGGGGATTCTTCAGGATGACTCAGCTTGCGAGAACCTTCCATGGTCATAAGAGTAGCTGCAAGGAAATTATTGCCTCACCCATTTGTCAAGCAGTGGGCAAAAAATGGGCAGATGGGCAAGTGGGGGCTCAAGAAACCACAAGAGGGCACAGGCTTTTTGGGTGGTATCTGGCGATACCTAATTTAAAGTGACCTAACGTTTTGCCTAGTTTTTCTAATTTTCAATATATCTAGCCTAGGCAAATACAAAGTCCTGGTTAGAAAAATCATACTCTTCAGTACCGTATGGAAAGAAACCTTGCCTCCCTCACATACCTCTGCATTCCCTCCATTTATAACAGAGTTCTTTTAAATAGTTGTCCTACCTACATTTAGAACACAGACAACATGATAATTTTTGCCTTTTCTTTTGTGGTACTGGGGACTGAACCCAGGGCCTTTGCACTGAGCAATTTAAAAAAACTCAAGAGGAAAGGAAAAATGTGCCTATTTTTACTTGAGTTGTTTTTTCTTCATGATGTTCCAAAATTTTCTTATCATTTCCCAGTTAAGTGAACAGTCTCTGGCTTGTTTTTCAGGGCAGGCCTACTAGGGGCAAGTTCCCTGTTGCCCCTTTGCTCTTATTGGACAGAACTCCGACAGGTGTGCTCTTTAGTCCTCTGTCAGAGCTGTCTGCGACAAACTGTCCTTTATATCTACGGCTTTCGAGACTTCTGTCTTTTGCTTTCAGAGGTCTGACTATGATGTATCTTTGTATGAGTTACTCGGTTTATCCTGTTTGGGATTTGCTTAGCTTCTGCAACTGGAGATTTGTGTCTTTTGCCACACAGAGGAACTTTCCACTCTTTATTTCTTTGAGTATTTTTATATGCACTGTCCTTTTCTCCTCTGCTCAGGGACTCGCATGTTAAATCTTTATGGTCCCACAGATCCCTGAGGCTCTGTTCATTATTTCTCCAGTCTGTTTTCTTGGTTGTCTGGACCTGGCAGTTTCTGTAGTTCTAGTTCGTAGTTTCCAAATTCATCCCTCCCTTCGCTCCATTCCAGTGTGAATGAGATTATCCAGTTTTTCCACATCTGTCACTGTGTTTTATTCTGTGGTACTGGGAACCAGACCCAGGGCCTTTGCGCTGAGCTGTACCCCAGGCCTTTTTTCTTGTTCTTTTGAGACAGGGTCTCTCTAGGTCAGTGAATTGTGCAGGCTGGACCTGATCGTGTGATCCTCCTGTCTCCACCTCCCAGAGTGCTGGGATTATAGGCATGTGCCACCCAGTGCCCAGCTGTCATTGTCTTTTTAAATTCTAAAGTTATGTTTAGTTTTTCTTTACATTTTCCATGTCTTTGCTGAGACTTTCTTTCAAATGTGTGCATAATTATTTTTTTAAAAAAATGATACCATCTTTAAACATCTTTGTCAGGGGATTCTAACATCTCCATCACCTTGTGCTAGCGTCAACACATATATGACTTTTTTTTAAAATGAAGTTGTGATTTTCTTGGTTCTTGGCATGATAACTGGCTGTTTTGAATAAATACCCAATTGCCTATATGAAGGGAGCTGCAATGGGGCCGTTTCAAGATACTGGATCTGACTTGGCCCTTCAGGTTTGGGGCGGCCTCCCCTAACACGGTTTCCACGTGGGACGGGCCTGGTCTTGTTACCAGGAGGTGGAGGTAAAGGCCTAGGTTTTCCTTATGGCTGCAGTGACACCTGAGGTGGAGAGGTCTTCACCTTACTGCTGGGCAGGGGCAGGTAGAATTCCAGCTGTACCCTGGAGCTCTGTGGATCCAATAGGGTCCTTTCTTATTACTCCCGTGTGGTGAGCGGAGTGGCCTTATGACCACCGGGTGGTGTGACTGTCCTGCCTTTGCACACCCACCCCTGCAGGGTGCAGGTGCCTGAGTTCCCTCTCAGCCTCAGTGTGGGTGGGGTGGGGTCTCAGTTATTTCTGTGGTCTTCGGCTAGAGTAGAGTGGTGACTGTCTACGAGTTGCTCTGTCTTGCTAGGTTGTCCCTTCCTGGTCCTGCTTGGGAGCAGAACTTTGCTGAAGCTCTGTTTGTCTTATATTCATTGGCATTTCTGGGGGTCAGCTTCTTTAGCACCAAATCTGAGGTGTATGAGGCCAAAATAAAACTCAAAGAATTCATCCTGTCCCTTTTGGGGTCCTGAGTTTCCCTAATGGTCTTGTTCATATATAATATCCAGGGCTTTTTGTGGTACTACAATAGACAAATAGGGAAAAATACACACTCCATCTCCTCAGAAGTGAAAGTCAAGTCCCTGATATTTTATAGTTCTATATTATTCCCATCTTCCCCTTTTTTTTCCAGTACCAGGAATCGAACGCACGAACTCATGCTTGCCAGGCAGGCGCTGTGCCACTGAGCTAAATCCCCAACCTCTTACTTCTATGTTATTTAGGCTGTTCTAAATTTATTCCTTGATAGAATCCAAGAATTTTAAAATTAGAAGTGTAAAAAGCAGTATGATTCAAGAGGATCAAATGAAAATAATTAGAACTAAGAAATCATCCAGGTGAATAATTATAAATTTGATAAATTTTCTATACATAAGAAATAAACAACCTAATAAAGATGTGACTCACAATAGCAAAAAAATTTCATAGGTGTGAACTAAACAAGAAATATGAAGGAGTAAAATTATAACACTGTACTAGAAAATGCACTATCATAAAGACGCTCTATCAAATAAACTAAGACTTCAATGCAACCGTGAAAAGAAAAAATTCAGGAATAGGTTTAGAAATTTGTCAAATACTTTTACAACTGCTGTTGAGAAGAAGCTGTGGTTCTCTTTGATAGTAAGGAAATTTTTATTAAATAAAATTATTAGATAAATTTTCCAGGGGGTTAAAGCTGGATAAACTTAACAGTGCTCAGACTTTAATGTGAATATACAGATCACCCAAGGGTCTTGTTAGCAGATTAGGATTCAAAAGGTCCAGGGTGGGGCTCAGGATTCTGCACTACCGACAAGCTTCCGGCACAGGACAATGTAGGCATATGCTCTGCAGTGTGACATACAGACAACCAATGCCAAAGGATTTTTAATGGGTCATTCACCTAGAAAGTGTGACCGACAGTGGGATGTCACAGTGTGGCACTGGAGATGACAGAACATCAACCAAAGTGGTTCTGCAGCATGACAGAGTCGTAGAAGGGGAAGCTGATTTGTGTAACAGTGGGATCACGGCACTGCAACCAGTGACGTACTTGTTGTGATGGGGCGTAATGCTTCATGTATTTTGGTGGGCTTTGAGACACAGAAGTGCAGTTGTGATTGTATATTATATGTTATACAGCCCATTCTGGATCCGTATTCCTGGGTAGAATAAGACACTGGTGTTAGCTTGTCTTTTCATTCTGCTATTCAAGAGTCATCCAAATTGTAGAAACCATTACTCTCCATTAACTCAGATTCACAAACATTTTGAATAAGTAATCTATCTTAGCAATGGATTATCTAACAGCAAACCATTCATTTTTGTGCTGTCTTTTAATGGACCAAGGATTAATTACTATTCTGCATTTCTATTTAATGTATTATGGGTCCGATGTTCACCACCCATATTTATTGAGATTTCATCATTTTTTTCATCACATTATTATTTGTATAGATTTCTTTTTTGGAATTTGTCTACATTTATGAATATTTTATTGTTATCTTTCCAAACAAAGGCAGAGTGGTTTGGTACAGAATATTTGGCTTACACAACCAGAAATACTACATGCTTTATTTCACTTGTCAACATTCTACAGTTTTTTTTTTTTAGTTTATAAATTTTAATTTCATCAGGCCTGGCTTTTCAAACTGTATACTAATAACAGAATTATTTTGTATAGTAATAAACTGGAAGTTCTTCTAACTAGA